AAAAAAAAAAAAAAAAAAAAAAAAAACGAGCGAGAATCTGAATCACGTGGATTCACCCGAATTGGTTTCGTGTGTGAGCGTGTCGCCCGTGTGACCATTCGAATGGGACAGGAAATGTGAAAGGATCGTGTTAGTCGGTCGCGAACAATCCGCGGGATCAAAAAACGGCTGGAAGGACGAAACAGAGATCGACGAAGTGTAAATGCGACGATCGGATGAAATGTTCGAGAAACAGGATATAACATCGCGAACGATCCATGCGACTCTCGTCTACTCGTCGTTTCGCTGTATCACGAAGATGCTAGTCGCTCTTTCTTCCGGATAGACACAACACCGTCGTTGACTCGAAGGGGAACGCGTGTGCCGCACAGCTTTCATTGTTTGCAATTGATGCTCGATTACCGACTATCGGTAACTGTCGTTCGCTTACCTTACGACGTACTGCACGCTGGCGAATCGGTGACGGTTCTTTTTTTACACGCACGTCCGTTTAGCCACCTCGGTAGATCTCACTCTCGAGTGTTTTGCTTCGGTAACGATACAGGTGACGTGGTACTCGAGTTGCGTTGGTTTTCGGTAGGCGAAGCAACGAAAAGGTCGTGGGCAAGCAGGAACGAAGGAACAAAGGGGACAAAGTGTGCGAAAAGGGCGCGAGAAGAGTGAGAAGCGTGAAAGGAGAGCGCGGCGTAAATGAGAGTGTAATTCGGAGCGAGTGAATTTTTTTTGTGGCCGCGTCGGTAATCGCCGCAGCGTGACATCTCGCGGGTCCGCGCGGTATCGACGGAGTCGCGATTCTGTACCATCATCACTACAGTGAAAAGTACTTAACGTTAAAAAAAAAACGAAAACAAGGATAAATCAATCGCGCTTATACGAAGAATCACCGAAGCATATTCGAATTGTGAAATAGAAATAGAGGTTTCTCTGGGTCGCAAACGGAAAACGTAAATGTCTCAGGATGCATCTAGTCAGAGGATTCGCGAGGAGTAGCGCGACGGATTACCGGCGGATCTCGAATCTTCCTTAGATGTCGATACATTTAAAAGTTTCAGAAACAAAAAAGAAAAAAAAGAAAAAAAAAATCGTGTTACAGTACCGTCTACGTGGTAGATCTAAAGTAAGTGCATGGTGCCGTCATTTCTAGCGATCAATCATTCTTGAGCTTGCAGACAAACGAGACAAAAAAAGGAAAACAAAAAAAAAAAAAAACGAAAGAAAAAGAGATGTCACGATGTAATAACGGTTTATAATAAACGTTTTAGTGTTGGTTCTTGTATTGTGCACACCGGCCCGTAGCCGGCTTCGTTAATCGTACAATTTATACACGCATAGGATAATGTTACGTGTGCAACAACGTGTTAAAAACAATGGTATTATCAGCTGCTACTCGTTGTGGGCGTGCTTATTGCA